AGTGAGAGCAATATATGCAATCCCCAAGCACTGTATTAAGAGTAGGCTCCACTATGTAAGTCAGAAAAATGAAGGGCCCAACCTGGAGCAATTTGAAGGTCTCATAGTCAAGATCTGCATGGTACCAATTTTCAGCTTCGTAACTCAGAGAGTCTAATTGGAAGTCAAGCATGAGAATTTGAGCCATCCATCGCTGGATGCATCCCAAGATGTTTATACCCTTAGCGCCGGAGCCTCTCACCCTTGCTTTAGGGATAGTGTTTCTTCTACTTTCTATACTTTCCCTGCTAGCTACCATTTCATAAAGTACGCAATCATAGGATTCAAGTAAATTTTGGAGGGCTGTAAAATACCTGTTTGAAGAAGAATCAGGAGCACCAAAATTAATTATTTCTCAAGATAGACATAGATTAAGTCGGAGCAACTAAAAATACTAGTGACTCTTGATAAATAAATTAAAAACAGTCAAAGACAAAGAAACCAATTCTGTCACCCCCAAAAAAAAAAAAAAAAAAAAATCAATTCTATCAATACTTCGTTAGTGCAAAGGAATTCGCCTCTTTATCTTTAAAGATACTCTTTAGTCATTTATGGCAACTGGATGTCAAATGATGGAATTAATTTGGAAGAAGTGATAATTTTGTACCCCACTCATTATGAGTTACCTACCACATTTTGTAGTCAGACAGTAGAGGTATCTTTAAAAATCAAGCTAATACGATGTGCATAGTAGACCTATGATTGACATGAGTAATGTCACTAACTCCTAATGTTAGACTGCATTTAGATAATGATAAATCTAAATTCCTCCTCACACATGAACCTTCTAAAGCGAAATTTTTTGTGTGACATTGTTTATCTCATCACTATTTGCCAGGGATAAATAAGAGAAGCCTTCATTTGCCGAAACCTCAACATCTACCATCCTTTATCAGCAACAGGACTCCATAACTTTCCATTATTCTTTTAGATTACAAATGTCATATGCACTTCATTTTTCTATGTCAACTACTAATCCGACAATCCCACAAGGATAAGCTGCTTTCAGAACTAAAAAACAAAAAATTGGGAAGCTAGACAGACTTACTCCTTATCTGCGATGTGAATTGTTGAAACTAAATCAACCTACACCACCAGATAGTGCAAAAGATAATACACAATAAATCAGTTCATTCAAAAAAGAAAAAGAAACGAAAAAACCATCGTTGAGCAATGGAAAGTCTTAGTTCGCACCTGAAAAAAGGGTACAATAGAGACCATGGGAATTTCTTCCTGTAGCTCACTATTGCCGTCTGCAACTCTCCACTCCCTCCATCGATTCCTCGCTTGAATCTCAGGAAATCCGCCATGGAGGCGTTTTGCCAGAACTTATCCGCAGACTCATCTTCTACAACTTGTTTGGAAGAAGAAGCTCTGACAATTGAGGAAAACGGAAGAGAAGTGTAGAGTGAAGAGAACTGAAACGGGGTCTAGTAAATTTAAGGCCTCGTCTAGAGGAATGGACGGTTCTGATTCTAATGGAAGTGGAAGTAGAAGGGGAATCGAGATTGGAAATCGAAGGAAACGAAGATGAAGAAGGGATTACAGATAAGAAGTAAGCACCATTCTTCTTCTCTCCCAAAGGTAAGAGAAGGAGGCGTTCGGATAGCCAGAAAAATTGGAACTTTTTTCGGGCCTCGAAGATCCTTTCCCTCGTAAATTACTTTAATTACGGTTAACTGTCGATTTGTTTGGTTGGGTTCCTTACGCACTCTTCTTGCTGCCTATGTCATAGAAAACAAATCTTGTAGGTCTTAACAACTTTAGGCTCGTACGCAATGTCCCGTTCTTCCAATAATTAGGGACCAGAAGATGATTGTTCTTCCAGATTCCTGCTCCACTAAACTACATAGAATTCATCGGGAACTATTTTATAACAACATCAATTTTAAGCATGTTTGTTTTCGTTACAAACTTGTCTCATTTTAATTCTTATTTTTAGGAATTTTTAAAATAGAAGTTATATACTTATATTTCAACCACATCCTCAGCCCTCAACAATGATTTTTTTTTTTTAAATACATAAATATTTAAAGTAGATATTTTCTTGCTTTATATATTAGCGTCCTCGTTTCGTATCTCCAAGTTTGACCCCAACCATTTTCTTCATTTCTTTTACAAATTAGATTCCAACTAAAATTTTCGTGCTTTCACATCTTATCACTTCTTCTCACATACTCTTCACAATTAACTAGATTGTAGGTTCATATTTCCAAAGTATAAATATACATCGTAACATAGAAAATTATAATACATTAATTATTAGTTAATATTATACTACCTCCAATCGTTGATATAAGAACTAATAGATTAATTTGAATAGATTAAAAAAATTAATTAAGTTAATTATTTGAAATAAATAATATTATCTTTCCTAAAATATATGTAATCATGTGTATTAGCTAGATTATCATTTGATAAAATACACATTCAACTACTAAAAAATTATCTTGAAAGAAAAAATATAAAAACAAAGTAGATTAAGATTTTATATTTATAATCAAAATAAAAATTAAACTAACTCTTATATTAACGATAGAAGTAATAATACAATAAAATAACAAAGAAGCATACATATAAATTAAAATTAAACCAGGCATGATGGGGAAATTACCCTTCGCCAAGATAAAGAAAATGTTGAATTTTCCGAGTAAGCACAAACATTAAGAGATTTATTGCTCACTTGAGAAAAATAAATCAGTTACAAAGAATACAATGGATGATGCAAATAAAGCAAAGGGCACAATAAGCCCAGCCTATATATACTACAACATAATCAATTACAAAACTAAAGATACAAAAGAATTTCCACAATAATCGGCAGCATCCAACTGTATGAATGGATATGTATGCTGAAATATTCCTCTTCAAATATTATCAGATTTCAGAATATGTCGCTTACTGTGATAATATGCAAAGTCCAGCTTCTAAATCTACCAGTGTGATGGTAAGAAGTTCTTCTGTATCTATACAATCAAAGCTAAGCCTGAGATCCAAATTTTCCCTAGCATTAACCAACATAGTGTCCACCAAACCCCCATTCATTTCCTCGCGTTGCTTTTCTGTTGTTTCCCTTTCTATCAATGCTGATACAGCTTCTACACTGCAAGAGTTATGCAGCTTGAATCCATACAGCAAGCTTTCTGCTGCTTGATTTCTCATCTTGATGTGGAGGATTTCCGCTAGTTCGGCCGAATTGAAGTCGTTAAATGGAAGAACTTGGTCACCCGCCTGCAGAAACCTTCATTTGAAGCGATCACTCGCTTCATTGGTTCACTGTATCCTGCAAAGATAACCACGATTTTTCCAGAGTCCATGACAGACATAATCTCCTCTAAGGCTTCCAATCCATAGTCCTTATCATCTGCCTTCTGCATTGGTATCAATCTATAGGCTTCATCCACAAATAGGATTCCCCCTTCTGCTTCTTTTATCTGTATAAAATTGGGTGATGCATGGTGGTCAGGTTTGATTTCTAAAAGAAGTATGCAATTAAGGATTTCAAAGCCAGTACCATACCTTCCTCCTGGTCTTTGGACCGGTATGACCAACAAACTCTCCAACCAAATCAGTTCGTTGTACCTCAGTCACTTTATCAGTTGGTAGAATTCCGACCATATGGAGTAATTTACCAAGGATCCGAGCTACCATTGTTTTACCTATTGAATATAACAATCAACTTCAATGACTAGAGGAAACAGTACAAAGAAAATGAAATATAACCGAGTAAGTGCACAATGAGAAGGCAGCCAAGATTGATACAGCATTATTTCCATTATATATACGGTTAGATCATTGAAGAATGAAATCAATCTAAAATGTCATGCACTCACATGCACTGAAATCAATCACCAACAGTTAAAAAAACAATTAAAAAGAGAAGTACTAGGTTGTCGAGCTGTTTTTAGCTTCCAAACATGGAATTGATGAGAAAGGGCTACAATGGCATAATATCATGGGCTAAAAGAGAAAACAAGGATATATATAACTTCTGAGTAAGATATCTTTCCAACACAGGTTACATGTGAAAAAGTACATCTCAGAAAAATCTATAATGAATAACCTGTTCCAGGATTTCCAAGGAAGGCCATATGTGGGGGTCTTCTGGGGCCAACTTGCAGACCAAGCGCTCTACGTCTCTCATCCAAAAGCATCCCCTTTGCCCACTTTCTCAATTGTACTTTTAAATCATGTAGCCCCACAACATTTGCAATTTCATTTTCAAGCTCATCCATTTTAACTTTGGATTCACCGCATGCTTCAATAGCCCGTCTCCTTCTCTGTTCTTCAAGATGCTGCTGTAAAAGTCCCCTAAGTTTCTTACTTTCAGGGCCTTGAGAAAGGTGATTTAAAGGAGTCATCCCCTCCTGCAATTCATAGCTTTGAGAATCAATCAAAACCTTTCAAAAAGATGAAAATATAACTTTGAAACATCAATGCACATTTACTACATTGTCCTTGCACTGCAATCAGCATTGTACTCAAGCAAGGTTTTCACAGTTAAGCACTCTTCAGCCCGTAGAGAGTACCAGACGGCAAGATGTAGAGGCGTCATACCGTTCTGCAAGAGCACACACAGGGGGAAAAAAAGAGTCAGATAGAACATTTAAACAATTCATTTATTGCTTTTGACCTGGAGCAGGGTTAAGCTTTGCACAGAATTCCAAGAAAAAAGGAACAGAAGAAAGACGAAAAAAGGATATGGCAGCAGGCAAGCAGCTCAAAACCATGGCATGGCCTGGGTGGCTTAGGAATCATGTTTCTACAGTAATATCGTGTGTGCGTGTTTGGGGGGGGGGGTATTAAATAAGAGAGGTGACAAGAAAATTCACATTTGCTTTAGCTTCAATAAAAGCACCATGAGCGAGAAGTAACTTCGTCGCTTCATTGCATCCATTCTTTGCTGCCATGTGCAATGGTGTCTCTCCATACTACAAAAACAATGCAGAAAAACTTCTTAGGAGAACATTCACTTATACTCAAGACCATAAAGCTTGACATTTAAACAAGAAATTTAAGAAAAATTATTATCCGGTTCCTACCATATTCTTGGCCTCCAACTCAACTTTATCAGGTCCTTGCCAATTGAGAAGAAATTTAACTACATCAGTCCTATTGTGGCCAGCAGAAACATGAAGTGGAGTCTGAGCCATCTGCATCAAAGATAGGTTGGATCCTCAGACATGAACTAGGAAGACGACAGGAGTGGACATATGGAATCCAATAAAGTGAAGACCATATAGCCAAGCGATATAGTTCAATCTCACAAGTCAAGCATCGGGCTCTTTAAAATTTTATTACACGAAGATTCATAATTGTAAGTTAAGGAATGATAGACAGTTCAGTGAATAAATTTAAAAAAGCTCCGCACCGGAAACAGCTGACTCAGCTTTGATCAAGATGTCTTGCCCCAAGTGGCTTGCAATCAACATCATCGATGTTGATAGCATATTCAACGCGCAAAGCATTATATTCATCTCACATTTTCCTTTTGATTCTTAAACTTGCTGGCGAATTTTAATAATGCCAACCCTACGCTCAGAAATCATAACCAAGGATTACAAGGTACCGCATCCAAACTGTCATTTCTCAGCTGGACTTTTATGCCGTACCAAGTAGATCTGAATTCATTTGCATAGTAAATCCCCAACCGACACAAAAGCAAGCATTATAGAGGACAAAAAAAGAATCTTTCTAATCCAGAATTCTCATACAACAAAATCAAAGAAAACTTTGGTCCAAAAAGGAAAATGGTGAAATGGTGGAAAAGCAATGAAGAGAAGTAAAATGAGATCTTACAACAGGGTTTCTCTCGTTGAGGAGAGACGGGTTGTCTCGAAGTAGCCTCTGGAAGGCAGCAAGGTCCCCGGAATGAGCGTAGGCATGGATGGTGGCCGGCTTAGCAGATCTTAGCCGTTGATCCTGAGACTTCTGCATCTTGAATGCGAAGGAACAACGGCAGAATTGGGAAATGCAAGAGAGAGAGAAAAACGAGAATGAAAGTCAAAACAAGTTTTGGATTTTCTTATCGGGGTTTGAGTCTTCGGACGCGAGTGTGAGAATATGGAGGAAATTCGAAATCCCCCACGCCCGACTCTTGCGTTCCAAATCTTGTTTACACTGCCCTCTCGGCCTATCATATTCCTTCCATTTCTATATTACTCCTTGCAGAAGCATTTGACGATTATGTCCCCGCCGTCCTTCTTCGTCCACAGATCAAAATAGCTGCTGGCCACAGCTGTAACGCGAGCACTCTTTTTTTGGCCACAGGACAGAGGCATCATTGTTGGCAACCACCCACTTCCTTCCTCTATCGCCATCTTCTCCTAATTTTTTTGGCCCATGTTTTTGGGGCAAAAAACGTTGTCAATATAAAATATTAATGGTCTTAAATATAAAAAACTAATTAATTAATTTGAGTAGATTAAAAAAATCAGTTATCATTACTAATTAAGTTTATTGACTAAAACTATTATTATTAGAAAGACTATTTTAGAAAAAAATAGATAAATATAAGAAATAAAATAGACTGTGGTCTTATATCTAGGATCAAAATAAAAATCAAACAATGTCTTACATTAAAGACTGAAGATAGAAGCATTTTTTTGTTTTGATAAATTTGTCTTCCCATATTCTAATTTTACAAAAGCATTATTTTTGCATATAATTTTTTATAATTATAGATTTGCCAAATGAATACAATAGTAATTGATTATTGACTAATTTTGAGTGGGGTATTTAAACATCGAAATTAAATTATTTAGATTTGAATATTATGCTATGTAATTTACTAATAATATCCTCTTCTAAAAGTTTTTATCCGACAATTTAATGTGTAAAAATAACATACGAAATTTAATAATCACATTACTATTTCTTTGACTGAGATTGATCCAGTGTTTTAAAGGTTAAAAAAAAGGAAAAACTAATTTAGAGGTTCTTATTGTTTGCCCAATTTTAAATCAGGTCCCTATATATATATATATATATCTGTATATATAAAACTAGATCCTTTAACTTTGTACAGTTAGATTTGTTAGACTCTGTAGTTAAGTAAATACTAAGGTTCTGTTTGGTACGCAGGACGAGAGGCTTGGGATTGGGTCAGGGATTGAGTCAAATTGTATTGTTTGGTATGTTGGATTGATTGTAACCTGGACTTAGATAATTTCATATAAATGGGATTGCACAAGCCCACCTCTCCCCCTGGTTTGCATTTTCAATCCTGGGATTGAAAATTGCAGATTTATTATAATTTTTGGACAAGACTACCCTCTAATTTTAACTTAGACTCATCTTTCTCATCATCAATCTCCATTGTCGTTCTCGTTTTTCCTGCCACTCTGCTCTCATCGTTGGTCTAGGTGTTGCTCTCACTGTTGCTCTTGCTATCAAGAAAGTCGCACCGTCTCCAAGCAACCTTTGCTCCTTCCTGTGGCGTAAAAATTTATGACTTCGGTGGGTTTTTGAACTTGGGTATAAGGCCTTGCAAGCCATTTTTTAATTATTTCTTTGCTACTATGAGTTCAATGTTAGTTGATTTTTTAGCAATCCATTCACCCACCACAAAACGAACATTTTTCAATTACATTTTTTTCTTCATTGCAAAATCTACATGTAAAATTCTGAACACTACTACATTCAATAGAATATTTTTTTTCAAGTATTATACTCAATTACTTCTAGTAATTCATCTGTTGCCATGGTGATATGCAGATTCTGGGAAACTCTCCGTCACCATCAGTGTCAAAAGGAATTTCGAATATGTAGAGCATGGTTTTGGGGTCTAAATATATGAAAGCAGTGCAAGAGCTCTTGGATGGAAGACTACTAGCGCCTTTTTTATTTTTTTGATAGTAAAGGTATTATAGTCTTTTCATATTTTATAATTGAGTATTAAATGAAATTAATCTATCATTCCTTTTAAATATTACACCATACCAATTACCAAATATGATTATAAAGTTTCATTCTCACTTCCACTCCCAGTGACAATCCCAATCCCATTCCTAATCCCAGTCCGCCAAAATTCAGTTCTGCCTGCCAAATAGGGCCTAACAGTGTTAAAACTGTCGTTACCTATCTCCTTCCCCTGTAATCCCAAAAAGTTTCAAAGCAAAACTCTCCTTCCTGATTCGTTGTTTGTTCTTTGTTCATTACTCAATATCTTCGTTCATTCCTCCTTTGTTTTGCTATTGAAGCAATTACAGTGATTATGGCCGCATCTAGCCGCCGGTGGCTACTTCTCGTTTGTCTCATTGAAATTCTGCACTATTTTCGGCAAGCAAAGTGAACTTAGCTCGAACTCCGATCATCCTCCATCCCTGTTGGACAAGCATTCATTGGCCACGACGAGTTTTTCCAATGAGAAAGTCTTCAACACACTCAGAGATTGTTTTTCAAAGATGAACAACCTTCTTAGCGACGACCTTAGAAAATGGCTTTGAGCTCCAGGTTTTCAGAGGACACTGGATGAAGTTTAATTGGAGAGAGGAAAATAATTTGCCAGAAAGTCCATTTCTTTGACAAGGAGATCATGATCAAAGGGTAAAATAGCTATATGGAGGAAGTGAATGGGGATTAGATTTTAGATTCATCAAAAGGAGGCAGTGCGAATGCGATATTGTAGATGATCGGGGGATATAAAGTGTTAGAGATTACGTGGGTAGCCGAGCATACACTATAGCACCGTACTGAAAAATTTTCCATGGAAAAATAAAAATATATATAATAAAATTATTTAATGGTAACAATAACACCATCAATGTTTATTTAATAGTCTTTAATTCTAGGGACTAACGGATCCAATGGTGTAAAGTTAAAAGACTCCATAAAAAGGAAAAAAAAAGTTTAGGAATCTAATTCAAAATTAAAATAAATTATAAGGATCTTCGAATTAGTTTTTTCTATTAAAAAAAAAGAGAGAAGCGTTTTGACTAATTTAATGGCTGATTTGGTCACCAAAACATTTTGATAAACACTTTTTTTATATCAAAGGTGATTTTTATTATTGATGAATATTCATATTCTTCCCGCTTCATGTTCTGAAGTGTTCTTCGCCTCAAATCGGTAATTTCCTGTTGAACCTATCTCTATATGGTCTCCTTTTCTTCTTTCACTGTTTGGATTCAGGTGTTTGGGCTTCCCTTGGACTATTCTCTACAGAGGAGGTGGCATGGAAGATTGGTACTAGTTTGTTTGGTTCAGTTATTGAAGTCGATGATTCTTCTTGCAAACGTTTTCACAAACTCTTTGGGTTCTAAAAACTCTCCTAATTTGCCTCATACATGGGAAGCCTCCAGGGACAAGTCTTGTAACTTCAGTTGGAAGCGAACCAAGCTTGTTACTCCATGCAACGATAGACATACCAACTACTCATCGATCAAGAATCTCCTGGTCCACTTATGACCCGTGTTCTAGGAAGGATCATACTTATGACTATGATGTCGAAAAGCTTACATGTCCTAAGCAATCTTCTCCAGCCTTTCATGGAAAGCACGAGTATTTTTCTGCTGGTGGGCATGATCGTGCATTCTCAAAGAAGCCTACCAGGAAAGGAATGTCGGTGTTGGAGATTTGTTGAACGTTAGAGTGGCTTCATATCTACTGGATGAGCATCTTGATTGCAGCCTGCAAGTGTTTATGATACTAAATGGGAGCCTTTAAGTTCAATAGTAGCTACTTAGAGGTTCATCTTACAGAGCTTTTAAGCATCTTGATTGCAGCCTGGCTTGTTGCGGAGCTTCTGCCAAAAAGCTCCGCAAGTGTTTATGACTCTAAATGGAGCCTCTAAGTTCAATAGTAGCTATTTAGGATATGTTTGGAATGTCATTTCGGGCCTAAACGTGCATCCCAAATAAAAAAATTGGAGCTGTAAGATTTAGTAATGTTTGGATTCATGTTTTGGCAACATGATTTCTTAGTTTGAAATGGACTTCTGAATTAAGTTGCTCTAAGTTTATTTTTGGTTGCCAATGCGGTGAATAATACCGTTAGAATCATTAATAAATTAAATTTCTTCATTTTTAATAATTTTATTTTTCATATTTCATTTAAAATGGTCACATTATATACATATAATATTAGATATGTATTACTTAATAAAATTCATGTTCTTTTAAATTATTTTGCATCTAAACTTATTTTTCTATTAATCATTCAAATAAGTTTCAGCTTCTCAAATTGATTTTTCTTACAAAAGTCAATCTAAACACAAACCATTTACGCTATCAAATTGATCTTGTAGTAGTACTACTTTTGGTGATCTTTTACATTTTATCCTCAGCATCATCTTTCAAGCTCTCTGTGTTTCAGTTGATGTGACGGTTTTCTATCATTAGTATCTTCGGGAAGCTCTTCGGATTGCTCTTGGCTTGTGTTGCTGCAAAAGTGGTCGCATCACTGGCTTTCTATGGTCGTAGTATCATCTTTCCAGCTGAAGCGTCTGGCTCTTGTCACTGAGTCATCATCCTTCAGGATTCTCAGGGCCTATATGGTCGTTCAGTGTTCTTGTGTTTGCTTTCTTTTTTTAGTTTTTAGGTGGGCTCCTATGTTTTTATCAGCCTTTGCTATATAAAGGGTTTCATCAGTTTGTGTATCGTTTTACGTAGTTTTAATAAATAATCTTTTTATCAGAAAAAAAAAGAAAACACTAAAGAAAAACCATTCCTTGCAAGGCTTAATGAAGAAGCTCACTGGTAAACCTTAAAAGATCATCATTTTTTGAGGTTTTTTTGGGCATGAAAGTAATATAGAAATTGTGCCAAATTTTTATGTTATTGACCTATGAACTTTTTTAAAGTGTGCTTTCAACGAAAGAACATTGGATATCAAGTTATCAACCATATTAAAAAATATTAAAAAAAGGAAATCTGAAATAGATATTTACATCTAAATAAACGTAATATAAAGTGAAAACTGATTTAACTTTAATCAATTTTTCCGTTGCATAGGGCTAAACGTGTGATACGATGG